GTGTTGATTTAATTTTAAGATCCCACATTGGTTGGAAAGGGAACAAAAGTTGCCTTATAAGGGACTTGATGCCTCCTCTATTAGACGTGTTTTAAAATCATAAGTCCATGTTTGGATAAAGCGGACAATATTTGGTACGGAACCTACTCGTCCGAAAGGGCGAGCCTTCCAGATGTCTACGATCGAAGCTGAGGAGATTTTTGATGTTGCTACAGGTATATTCTTGGTAAACTCTTTAGGTGCTAATGTGTTATTTGATTTGGGAGCTAGTCGTTCTTTTGTATCACCTGTTTTTATTAAATGATTGGGTTTGAAACCAAAGAGTTTAAATTTTACCCTAGAGATAGAGATGGTGAATGATGATTTAGTGTTCATTAGAGAAGTGTCCAAGGATTGTACTGTTGTCAGGAATAGTTATAAATGCGGGTCACCTGATCACATTAGGTCTGATTGTCCATAAATAAAGAAAGGGGGACCAAATTACTCGGGAATCGAAAGCAAGGATAGTGGGTTCTCAAGGGAGTGGATTGTAAGATCACGCATTGGTTGAGGAGGGGAACAAAAGTTACCTTATAAGAGACTTGGATACTCTATGTATCAGACACATTCTAAAACCATGAGTCCAAATGTGTAGACAAAACAGACAATATCTGATACGATTGATGTGAGATGTTACACTAGTAATCTTTTATGATCATGCTAAAAACATATATTTTTATAACAAGAACAAATTAAACATAACAACACATAAAAATAAGTCAATATATGCAAAAAAAAAAAAAAAAAAAAGGAAAGAAAGAAATGGAGGGAAATGGGAGGGGCCTCCACATCCTAAATGGGTGAAACCCTAGACAAAAAGAGAGATAATTTCTTCCCCTGGTCAATTTTCTATAATATCTATTTTCTCATTCATTTAAATATATAATTTACAAGATAACATTATGGTAAATCCCATAACTGTTTGTAACCTTGCCCACAACATGAATATGTTATTAAATTTTATAACCGACGTATTCAGGTCGATAAGCAATGATAATTGTCCTATAAGTACCTGTCATTTGAAAAAAAAATTATGATGTTAACGAGGCTGCTTGTGGTTAAAACGTAAAAGTTCAAATATTTTATATGAACAATGAGTCAAAAAAGTTTAAAAGTCGTGGAAGAGTTGAGTGACAATTCATTCATGAAGACCTCTGACTTGTGTAAAAGTATGAGCAAACATGTAGCAGTAGCAACGACTAACACATAGTAAACATAAAACATAAAAATAACGAAATGTAAAGTACGGAAAGAAACACACAAAGCGAGTATGATATTACACATGGAGCAAGTAAGACATAATACATACATAACAAGTAATGCAAAACACACACACAAACCACTCGGGTTGTGGCATACTACTTAATTGTTAGGAGGATGTAGTGGGAAATCTCATCTATCCTGAGTTCGAATCTATGTGCTGACAAACCGTTTGTGACCATGGAGGTTTATTTGTAATAACTCCAGACCATTCATGATCACTTAGATGATTATTGATATACGTAAGCTAATCCGAAAAAAAATAAAAAATAAATAAATATGCTAACCCACTACCCCAACATTTCTAGCTCCCTTGTGCCTAACCACACTAGCCAAAGTACCCTACACCTATTCTGCTACTCTAATCATTTTCCTTAAAGTATTATTATCAAATATTATGTTGTCTTTGAAAATGTTTAAAGTCGTCATACAAGTGTACTCAAGATTTTAGAACCCCGTAAATTGTAAAATATTTGACGATTACTTTTGAGTAAGTTTTAATATATTAATTACGTATAAAAACTCCACAACATTATAAAAAAATTGTTAACTTAATTCTAAAAGCATGATTCGTTATCTATGTATGATCGTCATCGTTAAAGAAAATATTAAAAATTTAATTATTAATTAAAATAAAATAAAATAGGGGTGAATAAATAGATGGTATAAACCCAAGAAACAGTCTTCATCAGCTTACATCACTGCTTGCCCTTCAGTTCTTGTCCCTGAATTTAACCCTGTCCCTTTCTTTTCCACCTCTACATTTCCCAATTATTGAACACAAGTACATAACCCTCCTCCAACTTTAACCATTTTTTTATAATTAATCGTAAATTAAACGAGTCGAATTAGATACATATACGAATAGGGTCGTCAAGATTCGATCCATAAAACACGTTAAAACTGTACAACGTGACATAAAACCCGACCTGTCATGCACTGTTTGTATATATAAAACCACGCGTTGTTTAAAAAACGTTAAATTCAATAATTAATTTGCAATAAACTTGAAATGGTAGGGTTGTAGATGGTATAAAGAAGGAGTGGTGGTGGGATGAAATGAATGGTCAAAATAAGACTGTTATTATTGTCTGTCAAGATTTCTTTGAGTTGGTCCATATCAATCATTTTCTCTTTACTTGCCTATTTTAACCCTTCTTTTCAACATTTACTCAATAACTCTCTAGTTTCAATTTATCTTAAAAAATGTATTTTTTAAGTTGACATGTATTAATAACTATCGCAAGTTATCAAAGGGTCTTTGGTCTAGCGGTATCTGAGTCTCTTGCTTTTTAGGAGACGAAGGATTCAAACCTCACCAATGGTTGATGTTCTGGGTTTGAATCAAATAAGATATGTCTAAGGTCAGCAAGGATAGCGTACAAGTGAAGCCCTCTAGAGATAAGTTAGCTGGCGGGTTCTTGTTTTCCGATAGGAAGAGGAAGGAAAAAAACAGAGCAAATTTGACTCGGCGCAACCTTTTTGTGTTAGTCGTCCCTCCTAGCTAGCTAGTAAGATATTAAGAAATACGATTTTATTGTTAAAAAGTAGATATTATATTACCTTTTTTTATAATTTCTATTCTCATATAAAAGTAACTATAACAAATTGATTTTTAAATTTAAAGGTGAAGTAGACATTTCATCAATTGAATTGTTTCTTTAAACAAGACACTGATTTAATTGGTAAGTACCTCAAAATTAAAAAGCAAAACATTATATTTATTAAAGAACATGCATGTATAAAGAATATATATATATATATACACACACACACACGTACACACACTTGAAGGGTTTGAATTTGTGTCGGGACATTCAATTACTTCGTTAGTACCATGTATTATAACCGTCGATATTTGCTTCAACTTCAAACAAAATTAAAAACCAGTACATTATGTCACATTACATGTGTTGGGATATATTCAATTATTTGTTCAACAATATTGCAATATATCTCTATGGTCAATATTCGTTCAATATCAACTAAATTTAACACACACACACACACAAATACATTGAGTTGGTTCACGTGGGAATGAAGTTTTTGTTGACAACGTGATAACAAAACCCTAATCTACCTTCATTTACTTATTGTTATCACCATAACTGAAACTCTAACAAAATTCATAACGTAAAAATGATTGAATGCACGTAAAAGTTCCCAAATGTATGAAAACAAAAGCAAACAAGTTAAAGGTCCGTGTTTGCTTTGTTGATAAGATCAAAACATCAACTTATTCAAAGACTATAAGAAATATTCTCATCATTTTCATCAAAACTCTGATTTTCACACGATCATAACAGTGTGTGTGTATATATATATATATATGTATGTATGTATGTATGTATGTATGTAGATGAGAGAGAGAAAAAGATGACTAATTTTTGTTGGCAAAAGATATGTATATGTACTTACATTGCATTTGTATACGTACGATAAAATTGTAACAATGCGGCTAATAATTGTTCTTTTTTTTTGGTGGAGTGGATTGGTCCATACAGACACTAAATAATTGACCCCATCAATTGGTCAACTTAAGGACAGAACAGTTAATACCTATACATCTACCTTAATTAATAAGTTCTTAAAAATTAAGTACTTTTTATGTACCTCTAAAAGTAACTGTACGTTGTTTATATATGAAATTGAAGAAAAAATAACCAAAGAATTTAAGACAAAAGATAAACCAACAAATTAATAACAAGACTTTAAAATAATACAACGTTTGAATCGACATAATTCAGTTAATTAAAACAGTTTACTAGCATACAATATTATATGCTAGTAAAGTAGCTACAAAATTGGGATTTCCACTCAAGATCGATCTTTTTTTAAACAATCGAAAATACAGATATTTAATTTGTTAATCAAGGAATTAATTAAAATCAATACTTTTTAGCATTAGTTAAAAGACAATACATGGTTTGAGGAGGGCATGGTGTTAATAAACAGAAGAGTAATTAAAGGCAGTACATTGTGTGGTATAAAAATGACAGTGGTTTGGTGCAGAAACTCTTGTAGCTAGTGTCTTAATCAATTAATGCATTCAATATATATATATATATATATATATATATGTATGTAATGGTGAGATTGCAAAAGAATTGAAGCAATTGAATAGAAGGGGAGTTGAGTAATTTTTCCTGGGACTGGAAGGAGTAGTGATGTGTCAGAAAAGAGATAGAGATGATATGTGTGTGTGTGTGCATATATATATATATATGTATATGTATAGAGAGTGTCATGATGTGTATGGAATTATAAGGTTTGGTCATACTGAAAACTCATAATAACTTTGAAGAGAGAGATAGAGAGATAGGAGTTTATGAATGGAGGTTTGAAAAAAGTGGATTATTGTGGGCCTTTCCAAATCATTTCTGTGTAAATACAATATTAAAGCTAGCTACCATTATTCATATAAACAGTCACACACATATATATATATATAGAGAGAGAGAGAGAGAGAGAGAGAGAGAGAGAAAGAGAGAGAGAGATAAAGAAAAGTGTACGAGAGAGAGAGAAAGAGAGAGGGGTATAAATGTGAGGTATCCATATAGGTGAGCTTATAAAAGGGAGAAAAGGGTGTCTGGTTTTCCCTTCTTTTAGCTAGAGAAAATTGAAGATACACACACATATATATATATATATATGTTTTAGAGAGAGAGAGAGAGAGAGAGAGAAAGAGAGAGTGGCAGGCAATGGAGGAGATGCAACTGAGTCAACTCGCAGTAACACATCTGCTTCAACACACATTAAGAAGCTTTTGCATTCATGAAAACTCACAATGGGTTTATGCAGTTTTCTGGAGAATCTTGCCAAGAAACTACCCTCCACCAAAGTAAACCCCCTCAAAACCCTAATACTAATACACTTTTTTTCCCTTTTTATAATTATTTACTTACACACACACACACTTTAAAATCAATTTTCCCATTCTTATTTAATTATTCAAAATTCACCAATAAATTACTTAATTAATTAGGAAATTATTAACTTTTTCTACGTCTCCATGGTGGTTGTATTATTGTAACAGGTGGGATGGCCTAGCCGGAGCATATGATAGGTCTAGAGGCAACAGAAGAAACTGGTACATTATTACCTTCATTTATATATATATATATATCTTCTTTTTTCACAAAAAGGATAAACGAAAGCTTATATATATATATATATATATATATATATATATCATATATATTTATATGATAAATAAATTCCTTAAAAATTCTAAAAAATTAACCTTGTTATGGTCATTTTCTCAATATTTTAATATTTTTGCCATTTTTAATAATGAGTATATAAAATAATTTTAAACTGCAATTATTTTTCGTTACATTTATATTATTGAGGTCGTTATTATGGTCGTTTTTTTTTATGAACTTTTTGTATTCTAAAATCTTGAATTCCTTTGCATAGTTTCATAATTAAATGTCATTATTGATTACTATATTTATAAATTAAGTATTCAAATTCTATAATTTCCGTCCATGTTGTTCAATTCGTTGCTTATATTATTGTTATTGACTTATTGTTGTCATTCTTTGAACATAAAGTTGATCCATTTAAAAACAATTAATTCAATTATTTTTCATTTTTCATTTATTCAACTTGTTTTCAGGTAATCAGGATTATGTTTTTAATTAATCTTTCATGTTCTTGTATTAACTATCGATAAATGCTCTAACCGAGACTCTAAACATTGTGATTATGGACTTGATTGAACGTTACCACTAACAGGGTGTGTGTAGTTTCTCTTTTCAACGATGTTTTCTCTAGCAAAAATGACTTGTCCATCTTTTTAACATTTAATTAAGTAAATTATAAACAGGATTTTGGTTTGGGAAGATGGTTTCTGTAATTTTGCAGCATCAACAACAACCGATGTTAGCACGAGAGATTGTTCGGTTTATGCTGATCACGAATACCCGCAATATCAAGGGCTTCAACCCGAGCTTTTCTTCAAGATGTCCCATGAAATTTATAACTACGGCGAAGGGTACTTTCGATATTTCACCTTCCTATAATCAGTTCTCAATTCTAATCAACTTCTAAGCTGTATATATGCTTATTCAATGAATCATCATGTTCAGTTATATTAAATATCATCTCTAGTACGTTCTTGATTTCTTTTAAGTATATATATTTTCAGATTAATTGGAAAAGTAGCAGCAGATCACAGTCATAAGTGGATTTTCAAAGAGCCAAATGATCAAGAAACCAATTTCTTGTCTGCTTGGAGTAATTCAGCTGATTCAGTAGGCACATTTTCAAGATTTTGTTAATCAAAATTAATTAACCAAATCTTTATGTTAATCTAATTAAGGAAGTGGTTATATTAATTTGAACTCATTTATGGGTGTTTCATTATGTTGCAACAGCATCCAAGGACATGGGAAGCTCAGTTTCAGTCTGGTATTAAGGTACATGTGCATGATGCACAGTGTATAATCACTTTAAAAACTCATAAAGATTGATTGTTGTTTCAGATCCAGGTTTTACTAGCTAGAAAATTAATTCTATAGCCTTTCTGTGCAGACCATTGCTTTGATTGCTGTTAGAGAAGGAGTCATTCAGCTAGGATCCATTCACAAGGTTATCTCTCTCACTCACATACACACACACACACACACAAAGGAGCTATAGCTTCTTTTAGTTCAAACCCAGAAATTAATAGAAATCTGTCATTTTCAGACTTTGAATTCATCGATCTCTTAGTAGTTTCTCTTCTTAAATTTCAAAAATATCACTAGGTCCACAATTAAGTGACACCTCCTCAATTTGTGGAGGCGTCAAAATGTAAAGAAAAAAATGTTTTTGAACCAGGTTAGTTCAGGTCCGCAAGTACATGGACCAAATATGTAGATTAGATAATGGGTCCGCAAGTGCATGGACCAAACCTGTAGATTACATAATGGGTCCGCAAGTGGCATATGTGGAAACGTTGGGACTAATTTACAGATTTGGTCTCGGTACTTGCGAACCTGGTTTAGAAATCTTTTTTACACTTTGACCTTATATTAAATTGAGAAGGTGTCACTTGCAGACCTAGTCATATTTTAAAATAGTGGGGGATAAATGATTAAAAGATAAATCCAGAGTCTGAAAATAACTATTTTAATTAAGTTCTCTTTATCAAATCAAGAATCTTGAAATGTAGATGAATGTTATATATAACATTGATTTTGAGAGCTGCTTTTTTGGTTCAAATAATTAAGCCTCAAGAATTAAGGTAAACCCATAACAAGAATCTTGAAAAATCAATCACAATTATGCTATACTAACTTGTACCTTGACGCATTAAAGCACTTGTACATCGTTCTTCCTTAAAATAGAGACCAACCCTCATGAAGGTATTATATCAACTTTGAAGTAAGATGTGAAAGTAGTGGACTTGACTTTTAAAAGTCTAAAATCAAGAGTCAGCAATATCTGAATCTTTACCTCAAAAGAAAGCACCTTTTTTAATTTTCACTTAATTAAATTATTAATTAATTAATTAATTATTGCAAAAGGTGATTGAGGATTTAAGCTATGTGGTGCTACTAAGAAAGAAGTTCAGTTACATAGAAAGCATTCCAGGGGTACTCTTGCCACACCCATCTTCCTCAGCGTACCCATTTAAAGCAGAAGGGTACAACACCTCTGAAGCATGGCATTTTCAGAATGGCAATTTATCGATGGTGCCGCCACCGGAATATTGTCACCGCTACAATTACGATCACCAACCATTGAACATAACTCCATCAATGAGCAGCCTTGAAGCTCTCCTTTCAAAACTCCCATCAGTCGTGCCGGTTTCTTCATCACCGCCACCGGTTCCACCATTTTGCGAGGCAGCACCGCCACAGTATGTGGTGGCAGGGAGTAGGCCGATGGAGTTTTGGGGGGTGGAGGCAAAGGAGGAGGTTGAGGAAGAAGATGTGAAGGAGGGTGGAGAGTGTAGCAGTTCAATGTCTTCTTATAATAACCATGAACATTTAGGTTATCAACATGATTTGAATGTAAGCAATTGCATGCCCAATAATGGGTATTGATGAGTAATTAAGTTGATAATTAGGGGTTGATTGATATATTGGTAGAAGATTGTTTAGTATAATCATGTCTTGATGTCTTCATTGCTAATATTGTAAGTCTTGGTTCCAATATTAGTGACTTTTTTTCTATTAATTTTTTATTATCTTGTTATATATATATATAGAGAGAGAGAGAGAGAGAGAGTGTGAGTGTGAGGTTTAGAGAAAAACCTTAAAAAAAATAAAAATTGAAGAACACCTTAATAACCGTTTATTTGGACGGTATGCACATATAAATACAAGTATGTAGTTGAAGTTGTTTCTTGGTTTTTATGTATGTTTGCATCACGGGCATACCAGACAAATTGCTTATTAACTACATGTATGTACATATTTATACCGTCTAGATGAATGAATTACCAGAGTGTTTCTCAGTTTTTCATTTTTTTTTGTGATTTTCACCCGAACTTGACCATATATATATAATACAAATCAAATGCAACCTTTTCAAATGTTGCAATCAATGCAACCCGATGAAATTTAATCCTAATCGTAGATCGTCCCCTTTTTAAGAAGTATTTTCCCTTTTAATTTTTTCTTAAATGCAACCGCCTTATCCCCTACAGTTGATTGAGAGAATCTGTATATTCATTGATGCATATACTATCAAAATATGTATTCTGTCAACGAGTATATTCATCATTATAAATCTAATATTTATGAAAATATATAGGCACATATACTCAATGCAATTCATTAATGTATATGCACAATATAAATATATAAGTTGTTACGATCCTCAAAATTTTTGTGGTTCACGTTCTAACATGAAACACCTTATATATAAATATTCTCAAACCGAACTTCATTATATATATATATATATATATATACATATCTATACTGATGAAAAAAAAAGAACTAAACAGTTCTTAAAATGATTGATATTGTCTTAAAGGCCGACAAAATTAAGAGGCACACCATGCCTCTTAATTGGTTGACATGATGATTAGTTTGTTCGTGAGTTGTTTTATGGTTCTCAAAAAGATAAGATCGTCATTTATATCAAATAGTTTGAAACTAGCTGAGTACAATCCTCTACGTTGTTAGATCTAGTCCTATTTGTGATTGGTCCCAACTTAGACCTAGCCATTTTCATAGCCAATTAGCCAAAAAACAAATCATTGGACCCAATTGGCCCCGGTTTTAATTGGTTAGCGTTTAAAAAATAGAAGGATTGATGTTAAATCATTGGTCCTGATTCCTGGCTAGATGCTAGTAGCATCTAATTGGTCCAAGTCCTAAGGTTAGGGCATGTTCATTGGTCCCTATCCTACAGACGTATGTCATATGTTTAAGTAACACATCAAACATTTATCTAATTCGTAAATAGTTCTAAAATAGACATATGATATGTTTAACTAAATATACAACGTTTATTTTTCTTTCTAAATAAAGGGAAACCAAATATACTGTACAGTGTAGTTAATGAATTATAGTGCACAGTTGATTTCATCTTTTTAGCGTAAGTCATCAGGCTTTGAAACAGTTTCATCTAGCAGTATTCACCGACATTGATCAGTTAAAAGATCCAAGAAAATAATCAATCAAAAGCATAATATTCTTGATTATGTTAAGAAAAACAATTAAAGTTCATGTAAACTTCTTAAAGAGTCGAATTCAATCTGTAACATCGAATATTAATCTATCTTATTACAAAATAAACACAACATAGACATAATTTTAACGAGATCATGAGAGATAGATTTCAAATGGGCAATCTTCGGGTTTTGATGGCTTTCAACGATTGAATTCGTTTGTGAATTATTGTGTAGAACTTTTCTATATTACCAGAAAATGTCGTATCGAGATCGAAATATGGCTTGTTGCAATGATTCTTAGCAATAAACGTTAAATCATAGCATTAAAAATTCAAATTCTTTTAAATAGTTTAATAAATATTTAATTATACAAAAATTTATTTTTATATTTTTGGAAGGTGGACTGTAAAAGGCCTTTTGTTCTGGGTTTATTATATGGATAATGGGCCTTGAAAGCCCGTATTTAGTATTTATCACTGGGCCCTTTTGTGGGCCTCTTATGAAGCCTATTAAAAGACTCTTAAATAAAACAATTTTTTAAGAAAAGCATATCACATTTAATTTTAAATGCTTTTCTAATTAATTAATAAACAATAGAAAATAATCATAAATATTTGAATTTTTAAAATAAATAAAAGAAGAGAGAGCGCGATAGAAATCTCCAAATTTGAATAAATCTCTAAAACTATATATTTAATAAAGAGAAATAATATTAAATTATTTTCTTATCAATAGGAGATATTGGAATTAAGTATTCAGAAGAGAGAAATGATATTTTATTAAATGTATTGAATATTTTAGTAATATAGTTAATATAGATTTGTTAAAATAGAGTAACTGTTGGAATGCAATTTTTTTAGAGATTTTAATTTGTGATACTTTATTTTAGAAAAATTATAACATAATTGTTGAAGATGTTCTAATAAATATAGTAGGCTAAATGTACCCCCTACCAACTAATTTTCTCCGCATGGATAGAGGTGTCAAATTTGTATCATGACGAATCAATCAATTGCATTACCAACCATACCAATTTCATAAACTGGGTTGGTATTGAAAATCGTATATGATGGTAACACTGTACTGTACCGATTTATATATATATATATATATGTATATATATATGTATATATATATATATACATATATATATGTGTATATATATATACATATATATATGTGTATATATATATATGTATGTACGTATATTATTTATTAAATAAAAAATCAATTAAGCGAATTATATTTAATTACTTATGCATCTGGTATTTTTATAGAGAAATTTAATCATTTATTAGTTAACATTTTATTGTTTACTTGATTACCAACTTTAGTGATTTAGGGGCCGCTTACTAAACGCTTACCAGGTAAGTGCTTTATCAGATAATTTTCCTCACCGGATGACATGGCAAGGGCCAGGAATCTTACCCGGTAAGAGCGATGATAAAGATGGAGAGTCTTACCCGGTAAGTGGGAGTAACGACTCTTACCCGAGTAAGCGCTTACCGGGTAAATACAACATACGACACCGTTTTGATGTACTATAGTATTACCCGGTAAAATAAATTATAGTGTTGACTCCTACTAATAAGCGCTTACTGAATAAGTATTTGGATAAACGGCCCCTTATTGTTTGTTACTCACTTACTAGTTAGGGGTGAATGCCTCGTAGCAACCCTAAGTCTCTAACTCGATAATCAATAACTTTAGTTTCCTTCTCTTCTCCATGTACACCTCCACTCTAGGTTTGTATTAGATTATTTGGATACATGGTTATACTTATATTAATGACTTTATGACTGTAATTTCAACTTTTGAGATGTTGGTATAAAATCGTACCTACATGTACCAACCAAAAAAAGTTGGTACCAAGTAGAATTGGTTGGTACATGATATAAATATTTGCATACCAATTATAATTGGTTGGTACATAGTACTGAGAGAAAAAACATGGTATCATACCATGTTCATCTCTACGCATATATATCAATATCTGTACTTACTTTTTACATTCATAATGTATGATTTGACGTGATTCTCACATAAAAAAATAGGGATTGCAAAAAAAAAAAAAAAACGAAATTGATGGTGAAAACCGAAAACCGGAACTTTCTGGTTGGGTTCAAGGTCATCTTTATCGGGGACGGGCCGGGGATTGAGGACATATTCGTGGATTTTAACGGGGACGGGAACGGACCGGCCCCACCCCGCCCCATATGTGTGTGTATATATCATAAAAAAAAAAATACCAACATTAAAATTTAAAAGATTTTTATCCACTTTACCTCAACACTCCAAATAAGACTCACAAAAAAATCTAATTTATTTTTCTAATCGTGAAATCATGATTTTAGTTGTATGATATTTGAATTTATGTTTATTTTTATATTGTAATATAGGACGTTGTTTGTAATTGGTTTGATTATGTTTGAGACATTTAGACTTACATCTTCAAGAAATCGTAATTTACTTTTAGTTGAGAATATTAACACATTGTAGTTTTTATTTTCAAATCGGTTCAGGTTTCGGACTTGAGTATAACCAACAGGAAAAAGAGGATTTTAACCTTAAACGCAGGGACCCAGTAAGATTCCCAACTAAATATATCTATTGAAATTAAATTATAAACCAAGAATGTGAGCCGGTTGCTGTGGAACTTAAACAACCCTCGGTCCCCCACGCCTCATGTCCCCATTTGCTTCTGCTGCGCCTAAACATACAAACTACTTTTTGGAACCGACTTCAAATTTCCACAAAAAAAAAACCCCTTTTCTCTCAAGATTTCTTGATTCTACTCCTCCAGAATGTGTCAAAAGAAAGCAGAAATTTGGGTAATGTGAGATTATGGGTAAGCTAAAACCCTCTTTTGATATTGGTCACAAAATCCCTTTGATTTTGATTGAAATCAAGATGTGATTAGTTTCATCTTTTTTCAAGTGGGCTTCTTGTAATTAGGTCTTTGAATTGGGGTTTCATTAACCACTTAGAAGAATAGCATTCTTGATGAAATCTTGAGAGTTGGATGGTTTTTACACCATTCCCATCTACTAAAATGCATTGGATTAAACCCCTTGTCAAACAGAACTCCTTTTCACCTCCTTTTCATCCTACCAATCCATCTGTGTTTTCTGCTAGAAATATTATTATAGTTATTGTTGTTATAGTAGTAGTTATGTTCTTGCTTTGTGGTCTGTTCCAGTTTCTTGTGAGATTTCTCATGAAGAAGATAAGATTGTCTTCAAATTCTCATCACCAATCCACAAGATTTCAAGAACATGGTGATGGTGATGGTGATGGTGATGGTGCTGTTTATCAAAGACAATTGCAACAACTCTTCAGTTTACATGATGCTGGCTTAGATCAATCCTCCATTGATGCTCTACCAGTCTTTGTTTATAAAGAATTAGTGGGGTTAAAAGAGCCTCTTCATTGTGCTGTTTGCCTTTGTGAATTCTTGGAACAAGACCATCTGAGATTACTTCCTGTTTGCAGCCATGCCTTCCACATTCATTGCATTGACACTTGGCTGCTCTCAAATTCAACTTGCCCTTTATGCAGAGGAAACCTTTTCACACCTGGGTTTTCTGTCATAAATCCAGTCTTTGACTTTGACTTTGACCAGTCAAGGGAAGAATTAGAAGATGGTCATGGGGTTTCCAGTTCAGAGAACACTACCCATGATGGGGTTTTTGGTAATTTCAACAAGCTATCTGAAAGAGTGTATTCAGTTAGATTAGGGAAGTTTAGAGCCATGGATAGTGAGAAAGGAGAAGAGGTGGGACCGAGTAGTAGCAATGGGAATCTTGATGAAAGAAGGTGCTACTCAATGGGATCTTATGAGTATGTGGTGGGAAAGTCAGAATTACAACTACAAGTGGCATTTTGGTCAAACGGTATTAGAAATGAAAGAGAGAAGGTGAATAGCTCCATTGGTGAGGGTAGAAATGGAAAAGAAATTGGCAATGGAAGTAAAGGTGAGAGCTTTTCTGTTTCCAAGATTTGGCTTTGGTCCAAGAAACATCATCATAAATTTCAAGATTCTTCAATACCCATATGGGCAAATCCCATCTCAATGTAAATTTACCATAATAGCCAAAATATATATATGAAATTACTTGCATCTTTCTTGATTTCATCAAATCCGTTCAGTCTTTTTATCAACTGAGCTATATTTCTTGATTTTATTGTTTCAAAATGTTTCTTTTTTTTGTAAAGATTCAAAAACCCATAAATAGATAAGCTTTTAATTCTTTGAGTTTGTATGGTGCACCAACCATTATCTTGTGAGGTTGTGGAATGATATGATGAAGAGGTGGGATCCATGAAAAGTGTAGTGATGGAGTCTTGGCATTGATGATTTAAACAACCAAGAGTAGTAGTACTCATGGCTTGTAGGGTCATCATATATGGATTGAAAGAATTTGTTCAACCACTTGCATCCCTCTCTCCAAAATGTTTACTTTGTCCTTTTTGTCATATGTTCTCTATCCACAAACCCTCCTTGCTAATAAGATATACTCTATACATCTGGTTTGATTGATATTGCAAATAATTAGCAGAGCAAGGGGTTGTTTGGCAGTTGCTGAATGGTTTGATGTAGAATGATTAAGAGACTCTTAGTGATATAGTGTAAAGTGAATATAATTGTTTACAATGTAATTAGGGCGCTGAATGATCAAGGGAGGTCCATGATACAAAATCATTCAGAGAGTTTTAAAACCATTAAGAGACATTTTTTTTCGTCAAACAATATTCACTTCTTAAAAATTCAGAGGATGCCTCTTGATGGAACTATTAAGAGATAAACAAACAACCCCTAAAATTCGGATTTGTCCTTGTGCTTTATGGGTTCTTTTTCCGTCAGTAACAATTCATTTATATACAAAAACCCTTGAGGTGAAGTTTTTGATACGAAATAGTCCATCCCACTAACGTCGTTTACCCGTCTATTTTTGTCTGTTAAGTCAAGTCAACTCAAATCAAGTGCCTCTTAAGTTATTTTGGTCAAATCACTTGAATGTGATTTGACATCTTAAAGAAAGAGTAAACTACAAATCTAGTCCATGTTTTGTCCTTATAATTTTGAAATTACAATTTTTATCCGTAAGGTTTATAATTCATTACCATTTTTTGTCCTTTCGATTTTAAAAGTTATTCCCCCCTCCTTTCCCCTTCCCCTAGAGAATACAAAATATTAATGATACGAATAAAAAAAATCAAAATCTATTTGCTTATTAAGTAAATAGTTACTAGTTAAAAAACTAGTTGTTGACTAATAAACTAGTTAATAAATCAAATGACAAAATAAAATGACTTACAAGAATATATCAGATAATTACTCGATTCTAAAACAAAGGAACATAACTGGGAAAAAAGTGAAAAAAAAGTCTGTTAAAAAAAATAAACAACTTATAGTTGTCAGACACGACAACACCTATAAAACCAAAGTTTTTTTTATCATTATTTTTTAATAAAATTACAAAATTTCGAACTTTTTATCATCTTTATCATCAACCAACCACCACCGGTCACCAACAAACCATAACTTTCTATTATTCACATAACCATAAATAGTTAGAAACAAAAGAATACACCAATACCCATGAATATCTGAGATGCAAATATTTTAGTTTGTATTTTTTTCGGTAAAAAAAAAATTGAGATAGCATTCCGAATTACTCTTCCAAGCATAGATGAAATTAAATCGAAACATAATTACCCCAAAATCCGAAGAATGAATCATATGATCGAAATAAAAGAAATATTAATAAAAGGTAAACAAAAATCTAAATCAGTCTAAATTTAAGGGAGAAAAACAAAGATCAGTTGCGAGTTCAATTGTATGATATATGACTCCACTTAATAGTAAATGATTGATGGAGTTAACAGTATAGACGAAAATAAAATATAATAGAACGTTATCTCAATGTTTTTTTAATAAATAATTAATTATTTACAAGGAAAAAAAATTAAAAAAGGGATATAAATTAAAATTAATACTATTATATATTTTATTCAAATTATTACTGAGAAATATAAAACTTTGAAATTTTTATCGTGTAATTAACAAATATTAGTTGTGTACCCGTGTAATGTGACGGGAGCCATGAATTTTAACGATTTTGAAGTTCCACTGGTTTTATAAGATAATATTTAACGATGATATAGGTTACACTTGGTCTTTACATATTAATGCAATTTGAATAAATAAGAGTTATGGTTCCAATTACAGACTATCGATGAAAAAAATTGTATGACAGTTTAAAATTCTATATATTTAAAATGCAACATATTTAAACGACTCCACAAATGTGTTCGATTTACACAAAGAGCAAAGAACCAAGAAACTTGAGTTTTAAGATAAACACTCAAAACCAATAAAGAAAACTACAAATTTGACAGATCAAGATGAGTTTTAGAATGAAATTTCATCTGATTACCCTCTTTCTTGTCCAGAAACTCAGATTAAGGTTGAATTAATACATGTATATATATATTTAAAAAAAAACTCAAGAACATATTAATTTAGAACATATTATACAGTGCAATTTGGACAGCCTAACCCCAAAATATATAGTATATAATAAATAAATAACTATAAAAGTATAAATCGTAAATATTAAAAGTATTTTTTCACAGTATATATAATCTATAATAATATAATTAAGTAAAAAACTATTCAATATTGGACTCATTACGAAGGTATTAACGAGACAATTATAATGGTGTAACTTGTTAAAATAAAAATGCATTTTTAAACATGTTTTAATTGACATACGATTATGTATGTTAATTTGATAAAGGTTTAAAATGAAACATGTAAAAGTAAAGGACGTAAAGTAAATTAATTAACTAATTATAAGAGTATAAAGTGTATATTTAAAATTATAATTTAAAAAAAATCACTTGTGAGAGGGTGAATGTATGTGAGAGGGTGAATGTATGTGATGAGAGGATGGAGTGAAAAAGTGAAAACGTAACATAAGGGTAACATAAAAGGTATCTTTATCATTTAGTATTTTAAGACTTTAAGACTTTTGCTTAATAAGATAGTATAGATTAATAAGTCGGCATTTTATTTTAAATAAAAGTGCTTTTTGTATTAGAAAAAATAAAATTAAAACCATGTGTAATATACATATAAATTAATTAAAATAGTTATTTTTTAATTAAAAATTCACTTTTTAGGTATTTTATTAATCGAGTTTTTATTTAGTCTGAGTTTACATAATTTTTATGTATTTATGTAAATTCAATTTTCAGGTTATTATTTTATGCATGATTTGGGTAAATAAACTTTTTTTCTATTAATCTGAAAATAAGTTTTATACAAATGCGTAAAATATTTGTGTAAAGCCCGGCTAAAATGTAGGGATCCTAAAAAACCAGACCAACCCAACCCAACGCAAAATAACTCAACCCAATATCTAATTGGGTTATAAAATATTCAAACCCTGATATTGAGTTACTTTTATTTGCACCTAACCCGATGAACATGATACCAATTTTATTTCTTGAATTTAATATGATTGTTATTACACCATTACTTATCATTTTCATATACATATATTTTTTAATCTTATTATACATCTATATATAACTCTTGTATATATATATAATTAATTGCCGTGATATACTTAAGATTTTGGGTAAATTACGTTTTTAGTCCTATGGTTTGATGAAATTTTCAATTTTTGTTCTTATGATTTTGAAATTACAATTTTTATCCGTAAGGTTTATAATTCATTACCATTTTTTGTCCTTTCGATTTTAAAAGTTATTGCTCTTTTCATCCTCATGACTTACAATTCATTTATATTATAGTACTTCATACTTAAAAGTAGTGTTTTGTCTTCAGAGACGAAAACATAAATGAATTGCAAACCATAAGGATGAAAACCAAAATTTTGAAACCACAAGGACAAAATCCATAATTTTTAACAAATCAGAGGGATGAAAAGCATAATTTACTCTAAGATTTAAGTCATATAAATAAATTGTACCAAATGATTGATAATAAAAAAAAAATTATGGGTAGACTAGCGAAAACGACATGTTCAGAGTTAGGAGAATATCAACCCGTAAGTTTGGGTTAAGTTGAGTTGAGATTTTCCAAACCACAGACATTAAGTTGAGTTATTCAAAGGTCTTCAACCCGATTAACCCAACTCATGTGCATCCCTGCTAAAGTGAGAACTTGGTTCCAAAAATGGCTAAAAAGTGAATTTGGTTGGGAAGATTGACTATTTTGGTCAACTTTCCCAATATAGAACAACCATTGCACAAAGTACAACTCTCATTTAACTACCTTCCGGGGTTAGCTCATTGGCAATAAATATTTGGATCTTTAAGACTCTTTCACAAAAGTAACCAGTTTGAGTCCCTTCAAGATCATTGGAGATTTTTCCTGATTGTCTTCATGACCCACATGAAATCAGTTGAAATGCACGTAAGCGAATATGGACACTCACAGTTAAAAAAGAAAACATGTCCAAAAGGACCAACATCATAAAATAAAAGAAGGAAAAACTCAAAACTTTGAACAAAAGTTCAACATACACAACCTTTTATTCAGCAACAAAATCATCCAACTAAATGCTTTCAAAATTCCGAAGAACACCGGGGCTTCTCAACCGAAAACTGAAATTCTCAGCAACAGCATTAAAAACTTCATAAACGCGCATTTTGAACGCTTTCTATATCTGCTAATGATGGCTAAATTAAATTCTCGCAATTGCATGCATAAAAATGTTCATAATATACAAAGAAAGACTTGACCAAATGATCGTTCCAAGCTCAAGTTTTTTCAACTCAAAACTGCACGACCCATATCATCCACATCGACCTCTGTGATATGACAAAACGAGAAGAACAAAAGATCATGGTCATTCCGGTCTTTTTAGAGGTCTTGCTACACCTGTACCAAGACTATAGATCGACTGAACGAGTAATAAATAAAATAAAACAATAAAGTTCATACCATATGTTATATTAAAATTTAAATATCTTACAAAATAAAACAAAAAATGTCTCTAAGGTTGCGTTTGGTACACTGAACATGACAAAACAAAACAAAGATCAATATTCCATGTTTGACAGGCTTCTAATGTGAACATACAGGAAGGTGGAATGGGCCAATATTTTACCAATATACCCTCAAAATAAAACTTAATTCTTTTCTAAAACATCAATTACATCTCCCTTTTTACATTTTATCCATTCTTTAAATTTTATTTATTGTATTTTAACTTTTTTAAATTTTCACATTTTTGTCCTCGTAATATTATTTTTATGTGTTTTCTATATTTTGATTAATTTATGTTATTTATTAAATACTAAAAATAAAAAAGAATATAGAAAAGGGTATAAAAATTGGAAATTAATAACTTGACGAAAACTTTTTAATAATATATTTTGTTATAAACAACTCATAAGGGGTAAATTGGTCATTTTACCGGTCATGTCCAGTCCTTCTTACCAAACGCTAAACAACTCGTTTATTCTATCATGTTTTGTCCTATCATGCATCCTAAATGACAAAGTAGCATATGACATTCCCTTCAATAACATCATCCTTCTATTATTTTTCGAAATCCAGAGTCGGGAATTACCAAATCCGCCCCAAGAGAATAAAAACCTAAACTTCGAACAACACTCTCATGCACGACCCTAGAAAAGATAATATCATCAAACCAAATCGAACAGCGCATTAAAGAATGAGAAACACACCTTTGAAGAATCTTGTGAATTCATTCATCTTCTTCTAAAGAAATGTGGCTGTTCAGGCTCACAAATCGCGTGGGAAATTACTAATTTGTCCCTCCTCCAGGACCGCTTTGTTGTTCAACTTGTAACTTAATCGTATGCGCATGACAAGCGATTTCTGGCGGAAACAAGATTCATTTTTTATAAAGAACAACAAAGATTCATATAAAATGAAAGAAAAACGGAAATTGCAACAAATAACAGGCAAAACGGACGAAGAATAAACACGATTTGATAATACCTTGCCGTGTTGTCTGTTGGTAACGTGTAACTTTTGAGTTATCGACCCATAACCACTTGCTGGAAGAGTGTTGCTACTAGCAGGCTCTAAATGCAACTGAAGAAACTGTAGATTGAAATTAGAGTGTATCAGATAGCAACACTTGCCATTTTGAGGTATCCTAATGGATTGCAATATTTCCATTTTTGGCAATTCCAATAGAAATGCAAAGAAACATGTATTGCACAGAAAATAGTGGAATTAGAAGCTTAATAGCTATTACATTAGGGGATGTCTGGTTAGAGGTATTAAATAGTAGTTAACTGGATTGATAATAAAAGAAACCGTTTGGTTTATAATAATATAATTGACTCATTCCCTCAAAAGCCCGAATTTCATTATAGGTTAAACTGGCGGGAGAAGGGGTGTGGATGTTCATTCCATTTTCATTTCCTTGTCTGAACCAAATAGCCCCTAAAAAATAAAATTACACCGTTAGAAAAGTCTCATCGATACCTTCGAAACGAGTCCAATATCGAATTTTTTAAAAGTAATTATAGATTTGACGTTAAAACAAATAAATTTTTGACATTAAAACGTTAAAAATATATTTAATTTTAAAAAATATTCAATATAGGACTCGTTTCGAAGGTATCGACTAGACTTTTCTAACGGTGTAATTTGTAAAAAGATTACTTATTTTTTAATATATTTTAGTTAATAATTAATTACTGGGCTGTTTGGCAATTGCTGAATGGTTTGATGCAGAATGATTAAGTGATCAGAATGATTAAGAGCTCTCATGATATAATACAAAATGAAATATAATTGTTTGGTAATTATGTACAATGAAATTAGGGCTCTTAATGGTTAAGGGAGATCCTGGATACAAAATCATTTAAGAGGCTTTTGGAACCATTAAGAGGCAGACTTTTTTCTTGCCAAACAAGATTCACCTCTTAACGATTCAGATGTTGCCTCTTAATGGAACTATTAAGAGGTAAACAAACAACCCCTTAACATGACAAGGGCAGAAAACGAAAAATGAAGGAAAATAAATAATAAATACTAGAATCTTTGAAGGGTTCAAAGTGTAACTTACCCATCCGACATTTAATACAAAAACCGGTGTGTGGGCCATTTCGTGAAATGCCTCACGAATCCTCACTCGTTTCATGAAACTGGCCAAGGGGTCCAATCAGCAACAACTTTTCCAGATTTTTGTGGGTCATTTCTCCTTTCGTGAAAAAATTGGAGAAATGGATGGGTTTTTATAGAAGACGTATGTTTGGGTTATTTTTGTAATTTAAAAAAAAGTTAGTTAAGTCAAGAACCCAACAGAAACGGGTAGTCAGGCGTTTACCTTTGGGACAGCTGCCTGGAAAACAAAATCTGTATAGACATCAGAAGACTTGTTTGTAAACATTGCCTCAATGTCAGTCATCTGTGGATTTTCAGGTCTCTTTGAAAAGTTGAAGATTATTGTCAACGCGCTACTCTCATATGCAACAATGGGCGGAAATGTAGGACCACTCTCTTCTGTTTAAGGAAACAATGGTTCATTAAATCTCGAAAAAGAAACCCGTTTGCCCAATTTGAATCTCATATTGAGAAATACTTACCGGGAGTTGCAGGGTTAGGACCGAATACGTCTAACAAATCCATCATATAGGGACCTGTAGGTTTGGCTTCACCAGATGGCACCATTGATGATGAAAGAATATCTAATGCATTAACTGAAGGTTTATCATCTTGATTTAACAAAATTATATCAGTTGTAGGTGATCCTTTTTGAGGTGGAGGTGACCAAGCTGACAACAGATCCAGTAGAACGTCTGTACCGCTTTTTTGAGGCTGAGTTGTACCTGAAACTGAGAAAAGCAAAAATGGCGTGCTTAAGGGACTGTTTGTTAGCAGCTTAATGAGCTTAATGGGACTCGCAGTTTATTCGGTACTATACAAGACTCTTTGATAGTGGTTTAATGATATAGAAAGTGACGTATTTAGTAAGTTTCTAAGGGAGCTTTATGCAGAAAGCCATGTTTTCTTTTCCTATTCTGTTCCTCCCAATTAAGAAATACGCCGCTTCCATCCATGAAAAATTCTTACAAACAAAAACCTTCTCAATCTATACAGACAGATTAATCCAAATATGCAACTTTATCCTTACAGAACTTGATGAAAAACCAACCAAATATCCCCTTAATCTTCATACATGCTTAATTTTCATAAAGCAAAACCATTTTCATTTCAGTTTCGCCAACCAGTTTTCTCGCCTTCACTTAAGCTTTCATATTGCTGTCTACAGATATACCATCTCATGAGTTAAGCAATAGCATCCCTAATTTCTTGTTACATAGACCGTTCTCTCTAAGGGTTTGTTTGTTAGCAGCTTAATGATCTTAATGGGACTCGGATTTTATTCAGTTAGCTATACATGACTCTTTGGTAGTGGTTTAATGATATAGAATGTGACTTATTCAACAAGCATCTAGGGGAGCTTTATGTAGAAAGTCAAGTTTTTTCCAAACCTTCCCCTTCCGATTAGAAAAAATGTTCCTTCCATCTATGAAAAAACCATCCAAACAAAAACCTTGCCAACTATACAGACAGATTAATCCATATAGACAGCTTTATCCATACATGAAAACTAACCAAACAACCTCTAAGTTAACTATTTCCTTTGTTTAAATTTTCTATCGCACACTTCCATTAAATAAATAGGACCCACTGGGGGATCGTGAGCGTGGGATGCTTATAAAGTAGGTAGGACCCATTGGGGTTTGTGAGCGTGGGACGCTCTACCTTAACGACTATTGTTAATAAGAGTGGAATCCAACACGATAATAGTGCTTTTGGAAGCATAATCTGCACACAAACTCCCTATAAGCATGTAACAGCTCGTCTCACATGGATAGAAAAATGGGACCTGTGAGCTTCTTATAAGCCTCAAGTTGTGGGTTACAATAACTTCCACCATGGTTTTAAGCTGAATTTGAAGTTATTGGGCCAGCCTGTTGCTTTGGGGTACTACAAAGCACATCTCATAAGTTTTCACTTTTCATGTTGTGCATGGAGACTTCTTCTACAAGTGCCATTCATGATCTATTTGTGTGTATGTTCCATTAATGGGCAGTAAAAATCCATTTCAACAAGAGAATGTAGAAGTTTAACCTGATTGCGATGAAGAAGACGGCATATCAACATCAATAAGATCCAGAAGAAAATTGCCACCTGAAGAACATGGTGGCACAGGTTCATCTGCACCCATATCGAGTAAATCCACTAGAGGGGCAACATCTGTTCTGGCAATAACTCCATTCGATAGGTTTGATGCAAATTCTAGTGAAGTTGAAACAGCTGCTGATGCAGACCTAGCCCTTCTTCCATTATACGTAGCTTCATCGAGAACCGGCATCCTTTCAACCAATGCAGATCTTCATAAATCCATTAGCATTTGTAAGATGATATCTACCCACATAGGATTATGAGAAATTTCTTGCAAAGATGAAAGATCTAGTGCATGGCATGCATATAGCAGAAAACCATTTTTATCACCACATGAAAAATTTTACCTTATATTTTTATGCTTTCCAATTATGGAATTGAATTCCACAGATCTTTGCTGGAGTTCTAGCAGAAGGCTTCCTTTATATTGAGCAATAATTTCCTTTATTCTCCTAAAAGTAACAACCGTACATCAGCAACAGCAACAGCAACTCAACAAGTCCTTACGAAATGTTACTACAATGGAAACTCACTTACTTGTTATGTGCTATTTTTTAAGCTATACTTCAATCGAGGTAAGGAAACCCAAGTTTAGAAAAAGAACATCACTTACAAATTAAAGAAAATGCGCAGGTATAGAAACATAAATAAAGGTTAGCAAGGTGAAACTCGGGGCTTGTTTGTTAGCAACTTAATGAGCTTAACAGAACTCGCAGCTTATTTGGTCAGCTATACATGACTGTTTGGCAGTGGCTTATTCAGTAAGCTTCTAGGGGGAAGCTTTATGCAGAAAGCCAAGTTTTTTTCAAACCTGTCCCTACCGAATTAAAGAACACCATGAAAAAAACCCTTCCAAACAAAAAAAATTCCAATCTATGTAGACAGATTAATCCCCATAAACATCTTTATCCATACAGGACTTAATGGAAAACCAACCAAACAGCCCTCTCTCCCCCCCCCCCCCCCCCCCAAAAAAAAAAAAACAGAAATTTGATCAAACAAGAAGGAAAGGACAACACCACAACAGCACAAGCTAAAAGAAGCCCGAAAAGGGTAAGCAACTTCAGAATGAAACACACTTGTGATTCTCATGAACTTCATTATCCTGCTCATGCCTCACTGCCAGTTTGCTCATGAGATACCAGGAAGGTTTAAGCTAGGGTCTTGCAATCCAGGAGCTAAGTTAACAAAGGAGGAAACAGGAAGGAAGGCAGTTGCTAGAATCTACAAGTGAATGGTGAATGCCTGATTTAATATGCCATGGAGAACCCATTTGAAGCTCATACACAGGCTGTCCAGAGAGTTGTTTCGGTACATTAAAGGCACAATAGAGTATGGATGTGGTCCAAGAAAAATAGAAGCAGAAAGTTCATGGCTTTCTCTGGCTCAGATTATGCAGGGGGAGGGAGGTTCAGGGGAAAACCCCCAAAAAATGAAAAACTGAGGAACACCCTGATAACATTCATCTAGACAGTGTGCACATGTGCATACAAGTAATTTTAGTTGTTTCTTGGCTTTTTATGCACGTGTGCATACCAGACAAATTGCTTACAAATAACTTGTATGCACATGTACATATGATCCAGATGAACGGTTACCAGGGTGTTCCTTAGTTTTTTATTTTTTTGTGGTTTTCCCCTGAACCTGATCCTATGCAGGGGATATTGATGTTATCAGGATATGTGATTTTGTTATCAAGTAGCCTGTGTTGGCTCAGTCTCATGTGGTTCAGTCACTTCAGTTGTGGGTTTGTTTAGTCTCGTGGTTCAATTTGTTGTTCGACTGTATTATCTCCATCTGTATCAATTCAGTTTAATAATACGTTTTGTCATTAAACGAAGTCGAGTAATACAAACCTATCTTCTAGAATCAAAGAAAAGCTTACTGTGAACAAGAAGGGAAGCGAGAAGACAACTTCAACAAAGCAATCAAACACATTGCCCTGGTAGTAAGATTCAATGAATGATTCTTGATAGCAATTTCTACAACATCCACAGCATCAGATTCTGTTACCTGATCAGAACAAATCAAATAAAGAAACATCCAATATAAGACAATTTTAGATGTCACGGAATACAATTTGACAGAAAAACCGGTAGACAAGCACTATACTGATGGCACCAATGCCATTAAGCTGCATTACGGATACTTTTGAGTTAAAAGACATGATGAACAAACTTTATAGTTATGAAGAAGCAAACTCACAGTTATCGGCTCCTCGATATCAAGCATTTCAATATTGTTTACCAGCATATCACCATATTCTCCAATGCACCACACTGCTACCCTAATAAGTGTTTCCTGTTTGAAAGCAAAGAACTCTAAAATACCAGGTTGGACAAAAGTAAACAAGGGTCATTAAGAAATAATTGCATTATACCTGGTCACGTGATATTTGGATTGCTCTATAAAGTGATCTTACTGAATATCCTTGGAGGTTAGAAGCATTGGTTATCACAACTACCAGCGCATGCCATACTGAAGCTTTTACAAAATTTCCAGCCTACTAAGCATGCACAAGAGATTAGCATCTTGTTTATGTGTAATCTAAACATACATCAAAGATGGAGAAAAGGTCTTAACAAGTACTCGATACTATAAGCAATAGCATGGTTTTGAAGAGGTGTAAATTTGAGAGAATATCATGAACTGCATACTCGATAGAAATATTGATAGAGAACATAAAGATATGGTAACAAAGACAACCACTTGAACGGAATTCGGTTACTTTATCGAAATTATTGGAATACTTTTCATTTATCCAGGACTCGGCATCTACCAGGGGAAACAAGTCATCTCTTGGAGGATCTACTGCCGTAAGCATACCTCGGAGAGAACCTTCAGCATCTGATCTATGTACCAAATTTTATCCGGCGAAAACCTGGATAGCAGAGAACAAAGATTAGCATGAGCAAGATAAGTTGAAAAAATAAATATTTGCTCTTTTGATGTAATTGATTAATTACTTGCAATTCTCAAATAACTACATGGCCCATTCTAGATGAGCTTGGAAAACATACATGCAGAATTACAATGTCAACAATGAGAATCTCAAAGAAAATGGCTATGATCGACAAAGAGTATATGTTCAGCACTGAACAAAAGATAAATTGGCTGAATCAGGCAAAGAGTATTGTTTACTTGTGTTACATGCATAAAATGTTTAAGAACACATGGAAAACATATTTAGAGAGATGAACTTAGAAAGAGAACTTTAATCTTTTAAAAGCAGCGTATACACTTTACACTAGAGAGACAAACTGGTAATTAGTGGGGACAACCAGTCTTGCCAACAGATGCTCATCAAAAATTACTTACTACAAAGGTTTGCAATAGTAAAACACTAAAAGTCATTAACATTTTAGCCGAAAACCGAACTTGAATGGATGAAAAACCTTTATAATCACTCTGATTGGGACAAAAGGAAGTGATAGCCACTCTATGTGACTCTACCAAGACATACATCACAAATAACATATGTAGGTCGGACCCAGGAATTTTTTTATATGGTGGCACCATATAATATAGACAAAAAAATAATTACAAAAAGCACGGTTTTGATCGACGTGTCTTCACGTTTTTACTAATGTTCAATATCGTTCTATGTGTTTTTAGCCTAATTCCACTATTTCGAGGGATTTTTTAAGTTTTTTGCTTGATTTCTAGGAATGTTTTAGTTTTTTTCATCGATTTTGAGACTTTTTTGGTTTTTTTGGTTGACTTCAAGACTTCTTTTTGGTATTTGGTTGATTACAAGGTACAGTTGCACCTTCTCGGACTTTTGAATATCATACGGTGGTACCTTCTAAAACGATACACTTGCACCTTTCATTAATGTAAAATTTTTAACCTTTCGTCAGAGTGATAATACGGTGGCACGTGCCACCGTATGCCCTTCTATGGGTCCGTCCATGATTTAGGAGCAAAGGCTTCCAAGAATAACGTTTAAATGCGACTTTATGTGATAACAAATACATGATGCAACAAAAGCTGCATAAGGTTTCCAAGAATAACGTTTAAATGCGACTTTAAGAAGAAACCTTGAACTTACTTTTCTACAATGGAGCAAATTTTTGCAGTAAGATCTCCCTTGAATCCCTGGTCACTTACTTCTAGATAATCAACCAACTCCTTCATCAAAGGTTTCACATTACTTTCATTCACCAGAAGATATACAAGTTCAAGAGCTCTTTTACGTATTGAAGCATCTAAATCCTGAAAAACACAAGGAGCACTTTGTGAAATTGCCAAGTAGTAGAGTAGTAGAGTCAATATAAACTCCAGGGGTTGCAATAGTTCTATGCCCCAAGACCCACGAAACATACAATCAAAAGGTTCAAGCTTTTGATTGACTGATTCTTTTATTACTAGCTCCTGTAACCAATCTTACCATTAGCATATAAAATATTGTAATAAAAGTCATTATTAATTAGCAACTGTTTTTATAAGCCTCAAGAAGCAGAAATGCTATGCAAGTGAAAGAGAAATATGAACTGGCAAGGATAACTATCTAAAGATAATGCATCGTGAGAAGTGAAAGTGATGTGAAATGTAATAAGCTGATTAAAATTTCCAGCAGAGTACGATAGTCAAAGCGCAAGTATTGACACTTTGTGGAGAAAGAATCAAGGAAACAGAACATGGAGAAAAGGTGAGCAAATTTCAAGAATGTATAAATCATACCCGCATCATTTCCTCCCTGTTCCCCCAATGATACTAAAATAAGCACTGTGTTTATTTAAACATAAGGAAAGTACCTTCACACATTCCAAGATGGTTGCACGATGTCTCTGAACTGCTTGAGCATCTACTGCAATTGCTTTCATCAACATGTTCAGTGCAACATATCTGCCATGTGAAGCACAAGGTTTATGATACTGAAGCAGAAAATCTAACAGCCGAAAATATTATATGCCCGTAAGTCGTAGCACATCAAACTATTGCCATGGAAACTTAAACTCAAATACATGAAGGCAACAACATGCATTCATTTAGGGCCATATTTTCTATTATTTCCAATAAAAAGTTATCACCTGAATGATCATGAATATCTAATATGAGCCATAAGGCCCAAGAAAGCAAAGTCAAGTGCCAGCCTTTTTTACTAAGGTAACTCACAGCTTTAACAAGACAGATTCACTTATGAAGGATATTCGCTTTAGTTACTTGTAAGTATTTCAGATTTAATTGTTTGTCTCGCAAACGCAGTCAGTTGTTACACTTCAAAAATGAACGCCTAAAACATTATTGCATTTGACTTTGCTTATATACTTATGAAACCATTAAGAAAAAGGTTTCATGTCATCTGTATTGCATTTTTAAAATGTTCAAATGTTTTCACTTTTGCTGTATTATAATTTACAAGAGCCAACAGAAAATTAACCCCTTGGCAAGAAACATCTGCAAATAACATTTTAAAAGACAAGATGAATACTCCTGCTTCTAATGAGACACTTCACCTGATGTTGTTGTCACGGTTAGACAAGAACCTCCCTAAGATGTTGATTGCAAGCACACGCAGGCCACCATTATCTTCGACACTCATAATAGTTCCTACACATTCATAAAGAATAGCATTCCCTGCATTCTTGTGTGACTCAGTTTTTGTTGCCACCTAGACAGGGAATTCAGCAAAAGAAGTGGTGTAAGCAGACTTAGCTTTGGAATCATCTATATAGTGTATAGTTGATGATTTTCATTACATGTGCCAAAACATAGGATTCATCAACTCAAATGAGGTTTGTTAGCTGATATTCAAAGGAAGCTTGAGGCACGGAATACAATCTGAGAAACATCAATGATGTAAGATACAAAAAGGAATACCTCCTGAGAGGAGACAAGGACATTTAATTATAGCAATAGTTGGGTCCAACTCTTCAGAGGATAAATTTTGAATTTCAAATTAGAAGTCATGACAAGATGTCAAGATGTAGCACAAAAAAAAAGTCTGACCTGAGCAAGAATGTCACTCATGCAATCGCTAGCATCAGCATCTCCATGGCCCAAGATGCGCAAAACACGGAGCAATCTTATATGGAGGAAAGGGTCTGCAATCCCAGAAATGTCATATTCGGGAACATACGGACTATTCACAACATCCTTCAAAGATCTTACTAAACCCTCTGTGCATTTCTAGATTAAAGAGGAAAAAAAAGAAATCTCATCACATAAAGCAACCAGTATAGGGCACCATAAAACAAAATAACCATAAATAAGTAATAACAAAAATACAGATAGATAATACTGCAAGCCATTCTTAACAAAAATATATATGTTAGGAAATGAAGAAAACAAGAAAGAGGAAAAAGAACACACTCCTGCAACAATAAACTCATTTTATTTAAGTTCACTTCTAATTGTATGAGATTGGCTAAACTCAAGTTTTCCTATGTTCAATTTCGTAAAAGAAGGTAGGATGTTTATGTTAATTATCACCTACAATTTGGCTTAAGGTTCTTTTCTTTAAGTTCATTTTTCCGTCTTAAGTCTAAATATCTTCGTCGCTCTAACATGCATTTTCCAGTTGGTGTTTGGTTTATAGTTGGGCTATTTGAATTATCTTCCAACTTCACGACTATCCAATGATCAAATGAAACCCATGATTCACATTTCTCCTCAACAATAGCTGGTTGATTTTATAATTGATGTCTCTCTTAGGGGCTATTTCTTTTTTTTCTGTTTAGACTTGTCTGGAATAAGATGGCTTAATGTGGATTGCAGATACATGGCTTATCCAATTCAGCCATTCCAGTCATTACCAACAAATTAAGCCAAAAACAATTTAATGGTTGAACGAATAAGCCATTAAGCTCATTAAGCAAAAATCAAACAGACCCTCACTCTCGTGGACAACAATATAATGCCTTCTTGGGATTCATGTTGCCGAGCTTAGTTAAGCTTTCTTTGGTTGAGATGCTTCTGTTGCCAAATTAACATCTACATGCAATTCATTCCTGATTTCTCATCCATTTCATTCCAAATATACCATCTTCATATACTCTATCCAAGCAATATATTTCTAATGACTAAAGGTGGCTCAGAAAATAAGTTTCTTGTCGAGATATAATGAACTTAATTCAAGGCATTTATCGTGCTTATCTGATATGTTATAAAATCTTAGTTTGAAGGTTAATCATTTTCGTGATTGGCAGTATGCTCATTTTAAAAGGCAAAACAGCACTCAAATTCAAAAATGAATTGTACGCTTGTACGCTTAAATTATTGTATTCAGGCCAATAAGTTGCACATATGTCTCTTTACTTCCAAATACTCTGCCAAGATATTAAGAGAAGATCAATTTACCTTCCTAAAATACTCAAGGGCTTCTTCATTGACTTTACACAAATCCGTACAAAGCTGGATTCCAGTTAAAAGAACTCCATGATGCTTTTCTTTAAGCAAGGAAACCACCGGGTCTACAAAATTATCTGCAAGGTCAGGGACCTTCTTTATAATCCTAATAGAGCATAATGCTGCCTGTACAATTTTGAAACTTGAGTAAGTACGATGCCTATATGTAGTAAAATGTGAGTTGGAAAACTACTTTGAATGAAACACGAAAAAGAAAGGTAGTTCGGTTGCAATTATCAAATCCAAGCTTCTTACTTTCCACATTTTAGATGCTACTCTGAGATCAATCATAATACAGGAACCTATGCATTCTAGAAACAAGAGGGTTCAAGATATACCTTGTCACACATGATCCACCCAACACCAAGCAAGACTAAAAATCCAAGCTGATAATACAGGTCAATCAAAGAAAAATGGTATTTTCAAGGCATACAAGCACCACAAACAAATACATCCCAATGTGTTTATCTTTTTACAGTATTAAACTTTGGTCATCATTTCCTCAAGAAACATGTCGTAAAATATTAGCAAAATATTGAATCAAAATGGGTAATCGTCTAGAGAGCTGGTAGGGTTCTCCACTGATCACAACTTGTCAAGATACAGTTAAGAACTATAAAACAAATACTTCCTGTGGTCAACTTCAAATTATAGAGTTTTATTAACAAAGCATGTATGATTGTCAATTTCTTTTATTTGCTACATGAAGCATCGTGTAATGATTCTTCATTCTTTCACTTCAAGAAACCTAGAGAGATTGAGCATGCATACATCTAAAGATCTTTTTGTTGTCACAAGGCTCAATCAAAAATAGTCTTGGATACATACAACAGTTTTATTTACACTTTCCAAACTGGAAAAATAAAAGGATGTTGGCAGAAGAAAAACGCTGTCTTCAATTCACTATAAGACCCCTGATTGAAGATATAGTTTGTGTTTTTTTGGCAGGATCCAAATTGGAATGAGAGATACTATTGAGGAATGGCAGATACTGTTGACTCAATTTCGTCAGCTTGTTTGGTTTGCAAAATGGGAGAATTGAATTCCACCAGAATTAGCGAATTCCTTCGATTTACGGAATTCATCATGTATCTTATGGAAATAGAATTCATTCCCTTGTTATTTTATTGATTACCCATAAATAAACCTATTCGATTAACATCCGGTCCATTATTACTATTCATATTATTATTATTATTTTAAATATTTTACTAGTATCTATAATTCATTTTCATATATGCATATATATACCAAGCAAGAAATTACAAGAATATCAATAAAGGTAGGTCTGTCATTTAATATTATTATATTCCAATTCCGAAACTACATTTTACAAATCAAACCAGAAGGTCATAGGAATGAAATTGAATTCCATCACATTCTTTTTCAACCAAACGCATGGTCAAACTAGATTTAATTCCATTCCATATCCATCAGCTTCCAATTCCTTAGACATATTACATTTCTTCCGAAAACATTTTGCAAACCAAACGCGCCTTATTATTGGACCCCTGAGACATAGATGAATCATAAGTTGGGCACATCAATTATGAGGCCCTATATTCAATTTTCCAAGCTCTCACAAGTGCCAACCTCAGCCTATAAAAAGATAAATTCAGCTTAGTGTACTAGGTCCCAAGAAGCATAGCAGAAAGGACAGCAGATTTGATGTCGTCAGATAGTTCAGTTTCTAGTTAATATCATCGATATCATACCTCTTGCTTTGATTCAGCAAATAGATATAGAATGCTAGAAATATGGCAGCGCATTTGAAAACAATATTAATGAACATGGAATCCAGTTCATAACCCCTTACAGGTCCATAATTGTGCACTTACTTTCTTCCTAATATTTGGATCACGAAATTGCAGCAATTTTTCAACTTCAGGAGCAAGATCACGAGCCATATCTGCAGAACATATATTACCCAAAGCACAAAGAGCTAGTCCCACAATATGCTGGTTGTTCTGGTTTAGATCTCTGCAGATGAGAATAATATGTGATTTTCTATCAGTAAAAGTTTCAAACACTAAGGATAGGAAGCCACGTTTATAGAACACAAGATGTAAAAAAAGAAGGAAAGATAAGCACATACTGCTTTAATGAATTGGTCACCAGCATCAAAACTTCTTGTCTTTCATCCAGAAGCAGCATGAGTCCAAGATACCCTATTCTCTTCTCTGCGAACCCAGGAGCTGCAATTAACTTCAGGCATTCCATTTGACCAAAATGTGTTGGATAACCAAGCATGTGAATGAACATGAGCTTTGCCAAATTACGGTGTCTAAAAGTTTGATCATTGTCACTAATTGCTGCACGGATAGAAGCACATTCTTTTCTAATAACAGCACGCTCCTCTGCTGCAGTTTTGCAAGCACGTATTGCCCGAATCATGTCCCTACAATGCACAGGTAATCTTTATATCACATCCACCCAGGCATTGCCATAATGATGGTACCATCATTGTCATGTTGATTACAGTACTTTCAAATTCATTACAGAAACATGAATAAAGTGCAGGTTTTAATTAATCTAAGAAAAATAAAAACAGTATAGCATCTTTGGAAGGAAAACTGGAAGGCAACAGTGACCAAAAATAAACCACATGAACAGAAAATAAAATGTGAGAAAAGCATTCCAGTGAAACTTTTCTTACTTAGCATCATTCTAAAAGCAAAAGAATAATCAGCCAACTCATAGACTCATAGTAATTCTGTTACATGCATGTCATGTGTATGTGTGCATTTGTACGTATGTTTAAATATGTATTCTTGAATTGAATCTGCCATTCCAGTTCCTCTACACCATAAAAAAATCTAAAAGATTGTTCTTGAATATTCCAGGTTAGTAAATAAGAGCGAGTGAAGAAACCAAAGTGGGAGTGTTGTAGATACACTATCAAAGAAATATGTCGAAGTGAGTGCATTTATGTCATTATGTGCGCAAATACGTTGTCCACGTCAACTGGATTGTGAGATAACCTCATGACACTTCCCATCCCACAAGGTTAAATGCCTAGGGAAGCGTAGTTCCAACCGTTTTTTGGATAAAGGAAGTTCCAACATTATCTCCAATGGGAATGATGATTATGTAGATTTTTATGAAATGCGTAAAATTAGCAAAATTGCAACCCCAGAAGAACCTTTCTCTAGCTCGCCCCTTCGTAAATGAGACTTATAACAAGCAGGAAAATTACGCCATTAGGGGCAGCATGCATACAAACTACAAAATAGATGTCCCTTTCACTTCCTACACCCTAGAACACAAATTAATAGGTCGGCTTCCTTACCATGCCTAAAGAGGAGTACAAATTGCTCCCTTTGCCTCTGGCACAATGTTCTATCGTCAAACGGGGGCCTTAAACCAAACTGGCCCGGTATAGCCACTTGAAAGTAGGGTCTTCAGGAGGGGGGGGGGGGGTATGCAAAGGGACCTTCTTTTGTTAAACAAAACGAGCCCAATATATCCCACTTGGAAGGTGGGGTCTGAGGAGGTGAGATGTAAGCACATTTGACCCCTACCCGGAGAGTAGAGTAGTTGTATCCTTATAGACCCTGGCTTGCAAAAAGTGTGTGCAAAAAAGTAGGCAATCCAGAACAGGGACTCTCTTTAGTTATTTCCATGAAATTGTAATAGATTTATCTACTTCTGATCTCCAACAAAGATATTTGCCACCAACGATTTCCTTTGATGCATAGCTTGTTGGATCATATTTCACTTCTACTTTATCCCATATAATAACTTAAACCTAAGTAGTAATACCCTGATCCTTCTTTGAATAGTTTCCTACTTGGCCATAAAACATAATTAAGCAAACATACTGCCAAATAGGTACTACATCTCAAAGTTAGTGCTATTTCTTATATACGAGGATTTCATACCAAATTAATGACTATTTTGCAGGACAGTAAGGATGACTTGTTGGATGTATAGATGCATATCAGGATCCTTAAGCAAACTTCCATAGCATGTGATGTGGCTTGCTTCTTAGAGAAAATGGCAACAAAGGAGGACTAGCTAATGTCGCTTGTTCTTTACACATCATGCTTTGAAGAATAAAATCTTGAAATCATTCCTCTTAATTGTTGAAATCATATGAGTTTCACTTAAATGTTGTTTAATTATAAGGTGCATTCAAAATATGTCATGTGAGTCCCATTTGTAAATTTCCATCTTGTGGATCTTCACTTGAATTCAACATCCAAAGTCATATGTGTAGATGTCCATGAATGTGGATGCATCAGTCTTGTTTTTCGACTCTTATCCGTTACAGTTCCATTGTCCATTACTGCAGGCCAATGGCAGTACTGTAAGCATACTCAAATATTCAAATAAGCCTTTTTGATTAAATTTAGTTATCTTTTACAACAATTGGGATTTTCATTCTTCAAAAGTCATTATATAGTTCAGCTTGTTTAGGTGCTGGTGCAGTCACGCAACACTTCAATTAATTCCATAGAAAGAGTTCCAATTCATCTACTCCAATCAATCAGTAAACCCATGCAAACACGAGAAATTCGCGATCAAAGTCGCGATAATACGAATTAGGTAACATGAACAGAACCCAGTTCAAATTTGATCAAACTAAAGAAATATTCATAAGACATGAAAGCAGTCGTGAACAGCAACTCACCTCAGACGCGTACCAGATGAGAAAGGATTCATGATTGGGTCCGTTATGATCAGATACAGATGTGTTTAGGGGAGAAAAACGAACTATATAAACTGGTCGTATACGGGTAACCGCAATTACATATATGTATATACATACAAACAAGCTGATTGTTGAATCAGATTATGGGGATTGTGAATTACAAAGATCTGAGGATGCATTTTCGATCCGTAAATATTAAATGGTCACTGAATTCCAATTTAAACGTGACCAAGATGATGATTATGAGCGTTTTCTTCCTCCAATTCTTCCACTGTTGTTTAGGGAAATAGAGATGATGGAGCATGAATCCATGTTTTCTCCTCGAAAATTCACAGAAAAATATGGAACATTAAGCATTCGCATGAAATAACCACTTCCTATTTGAATTCATGCTCATCCCCATTTTGAAATAAAAGAAAAAGACAAGATCTCAGACCATATAATCATGTCCCTCATTTGCATTTTCTTCGAATATTTGGGCAAAAAGTAATCTTGAATCTTGATTTGTTTCCTCAAGATTTACCTTATACATTCTAAAGTTTATAACTTAATGATTTTATAAGTTTCGATTAAAATGTTGTGTTTTCATATTAATATATTTTATTATACGAAAAAATATGCTAAATTTAAAATATAACCCTCTTTTATAATAGACTGTTTGTCTTAAACTGATTACCGGATAAATCAAGATTATTGAGCTAAAAAGGCTTTAAAAAGTCATGTTTTTAACCGATAACTTATGTAGTGGTATCTTACACACGGTTTAATAAACTTAATGTTTGGATGGCTTATTCAATCAATTATACAGGAGTGTTTCTTTACGGCTTAAATCGTTAAGTCATCAAGGCAAAATGGCTATATGGAATAAGTAATGATTCTCACTTGTCCCTATTAGACTGTCACAAACAAATTAAAACCATAAATAATCTAATCCTCTCTTTTTGCCTCCCTTAAATCCATCAGTCTTCTATTATTCAGACAAATTACTTAATTCATACATGACTTGATGGAAAAAAAAAAATCATCCTCATTTGTTGAAAGAGACTCATTATCAAGGTCATCTTTTTAAAACAAACAAGTGATAAAGCCGCAAAAACATACCAATTTGGAGGATTTCACATAATTTAATTAGATGTAGCTTATGTTGATGATTTTAGTGAAATCATCGGTTCATTTTATGTAATTGGATTCGCAGAAAAATATGGAATTGATTAGTTAAGTTATAACACGGGCTAAGAGGTGTGGAATGCACACTCATGTAAGCTAACCAAAGCCCATGATTATTGGATGGCACGTATGACGATGGTCAGGTGATTAAGAGAGAAGTCACTAAAGTTTGGTGGGTGATCGGGTGATCGGTTACCTGTTGATGGGTGATCGACTGATCAATTACGCGCTAATGGGTGATTAGTTGATGGATCATCCGTTGATAGTGACGGATCCAGAAATTTTGGTGATGGGGGTCGGAATGAAGGTCATGGTCATGTGCCTTGCAAGGTAATTTAAGTATTTGCTCAGGGTGATACGTCGTAACTTTTTTTCTTTTGGATGGATTGCAAGAGAGATCATTCAAATGAATTTTCTTAGGCATCAACTAATAAGAAACCATAACTCTAACAATTAACAAAAAGTTTCACAATCAGACATCAACTAATAATCAACTCTAACCCTAGCAATCAACAATTATACATTAACTAACAAACCATAACCGTAACATTTAACATAAAAAAAAACTAAACAATGAAACTGGGTTAAATCTTTTGTGGGGTGAAACCTTATTTTTATCAGGGGTCGAAACAATATATATAGTTATAAAATACAATATTTATAATATAAAAACAATTTTAAAAAGTTTATGGGCGTCAATTGACCCCCTTCAACATGCTCTAGTTCTGCCTACACCCGTTAAATGGGTTACCTTCTGATCGGTTGATGGATGATCAACTGATGTTTACCACTGTGTTGATGGTAGACTTTGACAACTGCATTTTTGTAACTCTCCATTACTTATTCCAGCAATCATTTTCATTCAATAAGAAGTTATTTTTATTTAATGGGGAACTATTCTCGGCATTAATTTAGGATTAATGATTTATTGCAAAAAAAACAATACTAAAAATTTGAGATTATTCTCGAGTGAATTTTGTGATATCTAAACACATTCGAATAAAAAAATCACTTAAGAAAAGCAAACTCTCTGATTCATTAATAGTATAATATTTAATGAGTAGAATATTAATGGCATGCACAAGATGAGAAAGTGGCATGTTTTTTATTTAACGTTTGAAGGTTAACGTTGGTGTATTTATCATGTGCCCATCATCCACCTTTTCATTAACCACGTGAACCCTTCCCATTATTTCTATTAATCAATATAAAATCATAACCATTTTAGACATTTTTATATAAGATGTTGTTTGATAATTGTTAAATGGTTTGATACAGAATGATTAAAAGGCTCTTATGATATAATACAAAATGAAATATAATTGTTCGGTAATTGTTTACAATGAAATTAGGGCGCTGAATGGTTATGGTTAAAGAAGGCATATGATACAAAATTATTTTTAGAACCATTAAGAGACAGACTTTTTTAAACTAAATGAGATTTATAAGATTTAATTATTTTTAAAACCAATTTTATTAATTTAAATATTTTTTCAGATCTTGAAAAAGACAGAAATATATATTATTAACAAGTGGGTTTACAAGAATACAAAGATAGCAAGGCAAGACATTCTTGATCCCACATGCACATGTTGGATTTTATTAGCATTTGATTTCAAATAAACCACCCACCAACAAGAATGTGATATTTAATTCATCTTCATAAATTAAATGATGATTTAGAGAATGTTTGATAGCAGTTTAATGATACTCATAGCTTATTAGGTCGGTTATACATGATTATTTGTTAGTAGCTTATTCAATAAGTTTTTAAGGGGAAGCTTTATGCAGAAAGTCGAGTTTTTTCTTCAACCATGTTTCTTCTTGTTAAAAACATGCTTCTTCCATCTATAAATTAATCCTCCCAAACAAAAACACTTGCAATCTATACAGACAGTTTTATCCATACAGGTATTAATGAAAAATCGACCAAACAACCCGTTAATCATGTTTAATAAAACTAACTCATAAAAGAACCACATTTCCGTTTGAGGAACCACCGAAAACATGCCACATGTCCAGACATGAATATTTTACAACATTCAAGATGAATGTTATAAAACATCCGGAACGTTCTTGGTGGTTTCCCGATTCATAATGAAAATGGATTCTTAACGTCTTTGATTGAAAAAAGCTTCTGAAACTTATTAAAACGATGTTGTTTTGAAGATAATGATTGAAAACAAGTGTTTCTAAAGGAAATGCATATTCACTTTTTCAATAACAATGGCAGCTTCTTACAGATACTTTTGCTTCCAATGCTGCATCATATATATGTTCTATAAAACCCTAATTGCTATACTCTTAACACATTGCAAAATTACTTATCACAATGAAATAATTCCCACTTTTATTCCAATATAATTCATCAATCGCCACGAGCAAAACCACGAGAACGAGAACGAATCTTGCCACGATGATCATAAACCGGATTCCCGTGATCCAATGGCTTTATCACCATCGATTCCGCTTGTTCTTGAACAGCCCCAAAAACGATCTCCTTTGTTTTCTCTGCACTTTGTTCATAGTAAGTTTCAGCCATCGAGGAATAGTATCGGTTGTGATGCTGATGCTGCTGCTGCTGCTGATGCTGCTGCTGTTGTTGTTGCTGTTGTAGTTGCGGTGGCTGCTGAACGTCCCGGTCCCACCCGCTGTAAAGATGACGGCTTTGACGAAACTGTTGCATTTTCTCCGCATCACTTGTCATGAACGGATACGTCTTTTTCGGGGTCGGGGTTCGTGTCTCAATTGACGGAGGTGGTTCGTCTCCTTCCGGGATCACGTAACTATCTTGGACGGGCCAACTGCTGGATGCGTACTTGTGGTCTTGATGAAACGATTGTTGATTTTGGAAGTGATAGTTAAGTTGTTTCTTTCGGAAGCCCGGGAAAACACCTCCCAAGATCTCGGAGAATGATGAGGTGGCATTGGCCATAAGTTTCCCGAGAGATCCAAAGAAACCCTCTTCTTGTTTTTCCGGCTCGGTTTCCGATGGAATCAGTGGCGGTCTTACCGGAAGTTTCTGGTATGGTGGTGTTGGAGCAATGCTTTGTTTCATTGTAGTCTGAGGTTCATCCTTCAAGAAAAATGAAATCATTAGACAGGTCTAGTATGATTTTTCCATTTCAAAAGAGAGACAGTTTGACTTTTAAGGATGTGTTTCGTATGTGAGACAGTATAAATACAGGACATGACAGAACAAAAGGTTGTTGTCCCACGTTTGACATGACAATTAGACTGGGACTAGACACCAGACAGTACTGAGTGGAACAAAAATTCATTTTTTATGTCCCACCAAAATAGGTGGAACAAAAAACGGGGAGATAGGACAAACTTGGTAAATCATTAACTATTTATGTCAAATTAAAACCCTAAAACCTTCCACAATTTTTTCACCCGCTGCCCTCACTCTCCTCAGTCTTGTCCACATACCAAACGCACCACAACCTTTGAAGTCAAAACATACCCATTTTCGACTTCAAAATTTTCACATGATTTTTCGAACTTCACGAGAATATTTTGCTACATATACCACTCTTTATAACAAGTTGTCGTTGGCGTCAAATAAATCAAGAAACCAAACAAATTTGACATTTGAAGAATGTTTATGTTTAATGCCAGATGTCTTCATGGAAATAGTCTCTCTACCCCTTAAACCCTACCTTTAAGTGAGATATACCAGGTACGTATGGTTTGGTTTTAAGAATGCTATGTTTAATGGAGTGGAGGACTTAGGAGTTACCATTTGGGAGGAAATCATGCTACCAACTCTCCGTTGCAGCAATGCAAGCATGTAACCGAAGAAGCCCGCTGCAACCAAAACAGCAATCCCTGCAACAAGTTTTGCAATTGATAAACGATTAATCATCTCACGGAGAACTTCTTTTTCACACTCCTTCTGCCCAACACTTAAAAAAATCTTCATTTCATTTCTTGAAAAGCCTACATGTTAGTATTATTACGTATAGATGGATGTTCGGGGGAAACCCCCCAAAAAATGAAAAAAATGAGGAGCACCTCGGTAACAATTCATTTGTACGACATGCACATGTGCATACAAGTAATTGAAGTTTTTCTTGGTTTCTATGCACGTTTGCATTGCACATGTGCATACCGGACAAATTAATTGTATGCAAATGTGCACACCATTCAGATGAATTGTTACCAAGGTGTTCCTCAGTTTTTCATTTTTTTTGTGGTTTTCCCCTAAACCTGACCCATTACATATATATCCCTGTGTCATGCTACAAACAGATTGATGGTCTTGATCTTGGTCCACAAGTTTGTTTTTATCGGAGGGTATTTTAGATACTCGACAAATAATCAAACAATTTTCATGGATTTAAGAATTAAATGGATGTAATAATAGTTTACCAAGAGGGAATCCGCTTCCATACTGATAAGCACAATCATCGAAAGGGAGTTGGATCTCACGGATGGCTTGGTTTCCTCTGTCTATAACAAGAAGAGAGCAACTACTTCCGATATAAAGAACATCAAAGTCGTTAGAAAACTTAGCATCTTCACTTGGTCCATCGACGTGTCCCCCTCCACGGCCCAATTTGCTGCCTCCTGCAATTGTTGTCACCCCTATCCCCAAAAAAAAAATTATATCCCATTTTCAAGAAATAGGACAACTGTAGAGTACTAGAGTCACTAAAACAAAAGGGTCATATAGAATCTTAAAGGTAATGGATCCATTTGAAGTCAACTAATTTACAGATGTTAGATAGGCCAGCTAACAAGTTCCAAAATAATAGATCATAGAACACATACTTTCTGATCAATCTTGGCCATTGATTTGCATATCAAACGGTTGCAAATGAGCCACAACCATCTATATATATGTATATATAGGGTTGGGTTCCGGTGAAAAAGAAAGTTATGGTGAGAAGCGTGTGAAAAGATCTCCATCCTTGGGTCAATCCTAATCGAATGTCAACACTAATGAGGTGCACCGAGATGCATCAGATCAATTCCTTAATAAAGCGCAATTCATGGGTGGGCATGAGATTAAAAGTGATCAAGGGTTAAGATTTCTTCTTACGCTTCTCATACGATCCTTCGCCTATATATACACATATATATATAGAGACGAAGGTTCAGGGGAAAATCCAAAAAAATAAAAAATTGTGACTACCCTTGTAACCATTCTTATGGACGGTATGCACATGTGCATACAAGTAATTAAAGATGTTTCTTGGTTGTTATGCATATGTGCATACTGCGCAAATTACTTATAAATTACATGTCCAGATGAACGATTACCAAGGTGTTTCTCAGTTTTTCATTTTTTGTGGTTTTCCCCTGAACCTAACCCTATATATATATATATATATATGAATATGAATATGAATCCTAAAAGCTAACACCACAAGTAACGTATGTTTAAGAACAATGCCATTGTTTCGAATCATTTTCCTCCATTTCCCATTTTGCAGGTCCCGTCAATTCAACCAAACTAGCATATTATTTATTCTCACATCGTATAATGTACAAAAATGTTAAATAACCAACACAATACGCCCCCTTTACCTGTATCACTTATTTTCCGGATTGCCATGTTGGCAGTATCGGCAATGTATATGTTTCCTTTGTCATCAACCGTAAGTCCTTTCGGGTGGTTCATCTTAGCTTCTCTAAGCCTCCCATCTACATGTCCAGAATACCCATCGGCTGATCCAGCAACCAACTTCGGTCTACTATCTGAAAATTTTCACATTATCACATTACCATTAAGGATCTCGCAAGTAAAACAAACCAATAGTGGATCAATGACCCATACCAATCTGAAAGAGATACAAACATCCAACAAGATAATCACAAAAAGGGGGAAAAGAATTAAACAAATGGCAACAAAAGTTGGCATTTGTTTATACATTTTTCCATCTTCTTGATTCATAGTTTTGTGGGTCCCAAATGGGATCATCAAAACTGTATTAAACTAGAAAGATGGGCAAAAAGAGTCAACTTACAGAGAGATAAAGAGGAAGAGATCTTGTATAGATTGCTATTAGCTGAATCAAGAACAAGAAGCTCTCCATTTGGCAAAACCTCAAGAGCATGAGGTTCAATCCCAAGTTTACTTCCATCGAAAACTGTCTCGACATTATACCCACTCTCGAATTTCATCATTGGACGACCAGTAATTGCTAACACAATAAACACACACAAAGAAAAATCACATTCAGAACCACCATAGATAGGGAAGTGACATATATAGTACGAAAATTGTAGCACCCCAAAGCCCAAAGCAACAGACTCAATAACTTCGAATCCAACTTAAAAACCATCTTAGATCAAACTTGAGGCTTATAAGGAGCTCGCTTGTCCCATTTTCTAGTCATAAGGGACGACTTGCTACAAACTCCCCACCCAAAATCTTCCTTCTTGTAATATGCGATGTGGGATTCGCCTAAAATGTTACGAACACCCCTTCAAGGACTCATCATACCCGATTGAAGTTTGCCCCATCATTGTATAAGGATCGGCTAATAACTTAGAATCCAATGTGGGACGAGTTGTTACATAAACAGAAAAAAACCCACTAAAATTATACAAAAACATCACCATTGTAGGAGATTATCCACATATATAATCGATAAAAACAGAGATCCATTACCTGGTTTAGTGGTTGTTTTAAGCGACCACGCCCATTTCATCAAAGAAGAAGCCACATTCGAGAAAAGCCCATTAACAATCCCTAAAAAACAAGATGAGTTTGAAGTGAAACTGAAATCAAAACACAAAAGTCACAGATCCCATATGAAAATTCGAAAGAGGAAATGCACTACACTCACTTGTAGGTGAAGTGGGTTGAGCAGCAGATGTAGTTCCAAGTAAAAGCAAAAGGGCAAGTGAGAAAAGAAACACAATTTTAGCCATTTTTTGTGAGGAAGTGAAATGAGATGAATCAGGGCTCAGAGGTGAAGTGCATTACAGAAGAATTGAAACCCTAATGAGAATCTGAAAATGGTTGGAGAAAAAGTGGTGCTTTTTTTATGGGTTTTCATGAAAAGGAGTGGGGTTTTTGGGAGCTGTATGCAAAAGAATTAAAGGATAGAAGGGGGTGAAAAAGACAAGAAATGACAAGAGGGAAGGGGCCATGGCCAGTGGGAGGACACTAGTCATTGGAGTTGAGAATCATTTGCAGTAAAAACATTTTCAAGATTTAATGTTTTTTTTAAATAAGAATAACAATTTCCATATTTATTTTTAGACCAATAATTGAAGTTCTTGAGAAATGTTTTAATATTTTTTAATTATTTATAAAATTAATCCCATTGATTATTGTTTTATATGCATAATATATTTTAATTTAATAATATTTTATATTTTATAAATGGAAATAATGATGATGATAATGCTTGTGTTTTTTTTATTTGTGGTTGTTGGTAGAAAATGATAATTAATATTCAATGCCACTAACATCTCTGCATTTGTCATATTTCCTCCTCTTCTTACTCCTGAACACCAGGGTCTCAAATATGAAGGGCAATTATGCTTTTTTTTTTTTTTTTTTTTAAGACTGTTTAGCAGTTGTTAAATAGTTTGATCCAAAATAATTAAGTGATCAAAATGATTAGGAGTCTTACAAAATGAAATATAATTGTTTTGTTAATTGTTTACAATGAAATTAAGGTGGTGAATGGTTAAGGAAGACTCAAGATACAAAATTATTCAAAAGATTTTAAAATCATTAATAGTTAGAATTTTTTTTTGGCAAACAAGATTCATTTCTTAGCGATTCAGAAGTTGTCTCTTGGTGAAACTATTAAGAGGTAAACAAACAGCCCATTTTCCTAAATTTGATTTTTTTTTTTTTCAAAACCTTTAATTATTTGAGAATATATCCAACATTTTTTGTATGCCAAACATAATCTTAGAATTTAAATTTTATTAAAAAATAAGTTTATAAGACCAAATATTTACATATTTATATTTGTCGTTAAAAAAAATGCCTAAGTATCTTGTATTATGAGGGTATGATATGTCACCGTCTAAGGCTACAAAAGATTGACCATAAAAGAACACGCGTTTCATAAAATAAAGTAAAAGTGTTGTTTTCATATAAATCTGGTATTAAATGCTGGTGTTATATGCATACATATTTATATCAAAATCAAATAAAATGATATATTGAAAATGTTAAAAGTAAATTTTAATGTTTTTTGAAGTATATAATATTTATATACCACAAATAAACAAATAAACTCACATATCCTCCTCACATTTGGTAAGGTTTGAACTCTTGACCTTCTAAGAGATTAGTAAGTATGTATACATTTAGCAAGTCATAGATGTACATTTATCAACCTGTTGAGTAACTTCATTGTTCTGTTTAATATATCGTAACAATTTTCAAAATGTATTAAATCAGTTACTTAAAACAACGAGAAATAATTAAGATAAGAAGCGTAAGAAAAGATACGTTAGGATGAGATGCATCGGATCAATTCATGTATCAAATGCGATCCGTATGTTGGTTTGACATTAAAGATGATCAAATATCCATATATCTTCTTACGTTTCTCAACATTTTTCATAACATAATCTATCATATTTAAAAATAGGATATATAATATTTTTTTAATTTAAAAAGTATTTATAGTTTTATTATATATTTAACATATATAGTAATTAATTTAATTTACAATAAA